ACCACTGACAGAGTCACGAAATGTACAGGACATAAATGGGACGTCAGGGTGAGGCTTCATTTTAACCTCATTTCGATTATATGACATTGATTATTTTTTTACATGTTTTTAAATTTTATTTGGTGATTCATATGTTTAACTCAACAAATATGGAGCTCTATTTTTTTTTTTACTCTCCCACTGCACCCGTATCTTGATCAAATTTTTCAAGAATTTCTATTTCCAACATATGTGCTATACAATGCTCTGTCCTTGTTCATTTCACATATGATAAGTAAGATTTTTTCATACATGTTGGATTGTCACATTGATAATTTAAAATTGTGACTTGACTATAAAATATTAATGGTGTCAGAGAAAATATTTTCTTCATTTCTTCGTACTCTTGAAATGCTTCGAAATTGTATTTTATTCGTAAAATCATATGCAAATTTACCTTCTCAAATTAAGTTTATTTTATTGATCTCATTATCTCCCGTCAATTCTTCAAACTCAACACGCTAACTTTACCTTAAGAATAATACAGCCCGTGCATTGCACGGGCAGCTGACTAGTTTATGAATAAGTTTCCAAAAATTAATGAATGTGGAAATTGGGATGCCCAATAAAAAACCTTTCACTTTATAGAGTAGCTTGGCTTGCCTACCATCATGTGTGAGCTGGCTCACTCTCGCGCTCACCGTTGAGCGAGTAAAGCGCGAGCCCGCTTGCCTACATGATATTGGGTTTGGCTCACCCCACAAGCTTTCCCTTAGGTGGGGGTAAGCCAAGGTATTTGTGGATTATTATTATTATTATTATTATTATTATTATTATTACAAAAAAACACTTTCATTACTAGACGTTTAATGAAGTCGTAAATTTTTAAGAAAAGTATAAATAAAAGAAATTATGAATTTTTTTATAAATTTCTTTGCAAGATATAACTCTACACCAACTCAAAGACATTGTAATTGTGTTACACACATTTTTCATTACCTGAAAAGTACTATTAATTTGGAATTATTTTATTCTCAAAAGTCGGAATTTACTTTAATAGGATATGCAGATGCAAGTTATCTCTTTGATACATATCAAGCTAAATTACAAATAGGATATGTGTTTCCACAACACGTCTCTTGTCAATTTGTCATTTTGTTGAGAAATAGCTTAAATTACATATTAAGTCTATGTTTGACACACATTTTTTCAAATACATTATTTCAAAATTCATTTTCAACCACACATTAATCAATAAAATAATATTTTTCATCATATCAATAACTTTCCTTACTTTTTAACCACATATTTCTCATCATATCACTATTTAAAATACATTCTTTTCCAAATAATATCCATCAAACACACCCTAATAAAGATTTAATCTACTTTTTATTTTTTATTTTTTTGCCTTTTGAGATTTTGAATCTTTCAATGTGTGGAATATATACAAATCACATTCAATAGTGTGATGCAGTTAGATCATTATGTGTTTGAATTGGCAAAAGTTTCTTTCTTTTTTGGATTAGTGGAAGACACCTGTTAGAATCAGATCATTACGTGTTTGAATTGGCAAAAGTTACGGAACCTTTAAGTTGCTTTCTTTCTTTCTGTTTTGGATTAGTGGAAGACACCGATTAGCTTTATTGCTTAAACAACATATAATTGCATAACGTGTTGGGTGGAACAGATCCTGATTGCTTTCATTTTGCTTCAATTTTCTGTCTTTCAAGCTGTGATAGGAGAGAACAGAAATGGCTTATGCTGCTCTTCTTTCTCTTACTCACGTTCTACAGCGCACTCTGAAATATGATTGTTCATATCTTCTTCCTGGTGAGAAACAACAAATCAAATCCCTCCGCGAAAAAGTTGGTTACTTGCAAGATTTTCTTGATAATTTTCCTAGAGAAAATATCGAATCAATAGAGGGTCTGGAGAGAAAGATCAGAGATGCAGCATGTCAAACGGAAGATATAATTGAATCCTGCATAGCAGATCGAGTCTTGAAGAATCTGCAAGTCATTGTGGTGACATCTTTACAACTTCATTCCATGAAATAGCAAAACTAATTGAAGAAGTTGATTCCCTAAAGACAAGGGCAGAAAAGATTGAGGATGAGAGTAGCATACAGGAAGATTTGGAGCGCAACACCTCATTGCCTGTTGGTTCATTAAGACCAGTTTCTTCGGGTCAGAGCACTATGGTTGGTCTTGATGATTCCTTGGCAGAGATCAGGGATCGTCTAGTTAGCAGTTCATCACATCTTGAAGCTGTGTCAATTGTCGGCATGGGTGGCATCGGTACATGGATAAATATATTGAGTATTACTTTCACATTTGTGCTTGGGTCACCGTATCTCAAGAATACAGTGTGCGAGAAATCCTACCAGACCTCTTAGATTCCATGAAAATACAATTTGGTGAGAGGGAAAAAAAGGACATTGATCAATTAGGAGAACTTCTGTACAAGAACCTAAAGGGCAGGAGGTATCTTTTTGTAATGGATGATGTGTGGGATATCGAGGCCTGGGACAGTGTGAAAAGATATTTTCCAGAAGACAAAACAGGAAGTCGAATCCTTTTGACTACTAGGCTGGAGAATGTTGCTAGTTATAGTTCTCCTCGTCATCATGTGCGTTTTCTGAACGACAAAGAAAGTTGGGAGTTATTTTGTCAGAAGGTGTTTGGAGAAGGTTGTTGCCCTCTTGAATTGGAAAAAATCGGCAAGCAGATTGCCGAAAATTGTCGAGGACTTCCACTTGCAGTTGTTGTGATTGGGGGCCTCCTATCAAAGGCCATTAAAACACCACATTACTGGAGAAGTATTGCAAAAAATTTAAGTTCGCAAATAACTTCAAATGATAAGCAATGCTCTAAGATACTTTCTTTGAGTTACAAACATTTGCTTTCTCATTTCAAAGGGTGTTTCCTATATATGGGAATTTTTCCAGAAGATTTTGAAATAAAAGTCAAGGACCTTACCAGGTTGCAGAGGGAATATCAAACCAGCATGCTCTAAAACGTTGGAAGAATTAGGAGAGGATTACTTTTTGGATCTTGTTCAAAGAAGTCTTATTTTGGTTCAAAAGAAAGGTTCTAATGGAAAAATTAAAACATGTAGAATTCATGATCTCTTACGGGACCTTTGTGTCAAAGAAGCTCGAAAGGAGAATTTTTTCCATGCCATTGAAGGGGGTCAAGGGGGCACTAGTATGCGCCATGTAAGTATTCAAGATAAGAAGAATTCTTTATCATCTTCAGACGAAGTGCAATTTTACCAAATGCAATTTTACCTTCTTTGTGGAGGTGCGACTAAAGGGACTCTCCAGGGTGACTACAAAACGTTATCTTCTTTAGTGGTGTGGTCTCGTTCACCACCTATAGAAATTTCTTTCGATTCTAGGCCACTTAAAGTACTGCATATGGAGGGAATTCATCCTTGGCTAGATGAAATGAAAGAATTGGTTAACATGCGGTACATCTGTTGCTTCAATAAATACCCTGAACTGTCCCTTGCATCAATATACAAATTTCGGAATTTACAAACTATAGTTTCTTTGGGAAATTGCTGGTACAATATTGAACCACCACCGGAAATATGGAAGATGCCGCAGTTAAGACATGTTAAGTTGAATGGTGATGTACGTCTTCGTAATCCTCCTAGTTAAAAAATTAAAGGGGATGAAAATTCTATTGTTGTTCTAGAAAACCTACAAACCCTCTCGAGGATATATATGATTTTAGGTGGACGGAGGATGTCCTCAAAAGAATTCCAAATCTTCGGAAATTGGCTATATCCATTACAATTATATAGTGTTGTCTGGTTGGGAAGGATACTATATCAATAATCTTGTCCATCTAACTAAGCTTGAATCATTAAAATGTTTTCTTACATATACGTTACCTTGTTTCCTAGTGTATATCAATTTTCCGACATCACTCAAAAAGTTGACTTTAGAAGGCATCGAACTTTATCCCGGCGAATTGCCGATTCTTGGTTCGATGCCCAATCTTGAAGTGCTGAAATTGAAAAGCAGTGCCTTCTTTTGTCAAGAGTGGGAACCAAATGAAGGAGAATTTCGTCAATTGAAATTTCTGCTATTATAAGACGTTAATTTGAAGCATTGGAGAGCTGAAAATAACCACTTCCCGAGACTCGAGCGCCTAGTCATTTCAATTTGGAATTGCCAAGTGCTGGATAAGATCCCTAGTGGTTTTGGAGAAATTTCAACTCTTCAATCCATCGAGTTGCATGGTTGTGGTAGTTCGATTGTAGAATCAGCAAAGGAAATAGAAGAGGAACAATTGAGTTGGGGAAACGAATCCTTCAAGTTATATATTAACAAGTTCTAAATGTGTTATTTGCTGGTACCATGTTTTTGCGATCATTTTCCATTTTCACTTGGCTTTCTTGTGCAACAAGAGTGCAATCAATTTCTCTAAAGCCTGTACTGTACAACCATGATTTCATTTAGTGTCCTTGTTTATCTATTTTGTTTCTTCTGCTTTCCTCTCTCTTTATTTGTGGTTTCAAATGATTTCATCAATATTAATTGACACACTAGAGATTTACAGTTTCTCTGCAGTACTGTTATTGATAAATTATTTGGAATTATTCTATTAATTTTAGTGTCAGAATATTCATTTTTTACTTTCAATTGTGGAGTATTTCAGATAATAATTTGATGATTAAACTGTGGATTATTTCTAATAATATTTTGATGATTGAACTATGGAGTATAGAGATAGTACAATTTAAAATTTTGTTTGGTTAGATAATGGATCTAATCTCGCTCATCATGTTGTGCATCGAACATTTAAAGTATTTTCGTTAGTATCATGCTTTTGCTCAACTCATCATTCTTATCCATTACTTTCTAGGGTCGGCTACATATATCCTGTTTGTTGAGTATGCTCTATTTAAAGCATGTATATCGTAGTTTAGTGTAAGTGTAGCTTGCATATAAAAATGGATATGTTTTAGTAAATCGTAGACTTTATCACGATTATATGATCATACTGCTAATACAAATTGTAAGAGATAGTTCAAGAATTCAGTTGGTGGCTAAAACAATAATGAATTGACATGTTACCGGTGCGGCATGTTGGAGTTGCCATGTGGCATATTATTTTTTCTAAAGTCGGACATGTTAGCGTAACAAATAAGTTAACAAAACAACTATCCAATAAATGTGTTAGCGTGTAAATTGGCGGGTTGAAATCGAGTGTCAACCGACAGTCCACGGAGCAACAAACAATCAGATTAAAAGATGACGCAATAACAAAAGCCATATTTATGAAGCAAAATGTAACCACTTCAAATCCTAAGTTTTAATTTGGAGTTGCTTCTTCTTCTTTTACACACAATTAAATAAAAAACTTAAATTAAAAAAAAAATGGTGCAGTAAAATAATTTCTGGAGCTTCTTCTTTTCAAAAATTAAAAATTCAATTTTTATTAAAAAAATAGCGTAGCATAAATAAAAAATCACAAGTTTATTAGTTAATGCGTGTTCTAGTTTAAAATGTCATTTAGTAATTGAACTATTATAAATTCTCATATTTTATCTTTTTTTTTTTTTTTGAAAATTAAATTGAAAATCTATACAAATTTTATTGCTTTCTTAAGACAAGTAATATTTTTAAAGAATGTAATAATAAGTCACACACACACACATAGATATAGATATATATACACACCTATGTTAACCAAAACTAAATACAAATCATGGAGGTGGTTCTGTGGTATCAGGTTCCTATATCAGTCCTTATGTCTAAAGCTATGGACATGGACAAACGATTTTGATCCAGTTATAGGTATACCAAGCTTATAATAAACCAACTTGTGCACACCATTCATGACAGAGGGCAAGTCTTTCACACCCTGCCTCAGTTCCAAGGTGCAATCAACCTGTCGTAAAATTACGAACTTGTCCCCCTCGAACATGGTGGATGGAATGAAGAACAAAATCTAATAATCGATAAAATTCAATAAATTCATCAAGTTCTTGCTTTCTAGTTTCTCTTTCAACCTCGCCTTTGGGGTATAACAATTATCCTTTTCCCTTACACCACGTACTCATGAGATTTTTTACAATGTTGAATCAACAATTATTGTTATCGTGCTTCACTTTCTTCTACTTCATTACAAAGGCGGTTTATGCTCCGTCTATTGTAATTAATTTAAAACTAGCTATCATATATATTCCTAAAAATTGAATAGGAGCGATCACAAGGATTCCTACTTGAACAAAACTCATTGCGCTCTTATGGTGGATGTCATTATATGTTTGTTTTCAAGTAAATCGTACAACCAATGTTAATTAATATGTATTATTTCAAATTTAAGTGGACAATATTATTGTCCTAGGAACACTAGTCAACTTTTGTCAGCGTTGCTAGCTATTCATATTAAATATAAAATGTATTATTTTAAACCAAAAAATCACAACCAAGCAAGTGCTAGTTGATTAAAACGAAAATTGACTTGAGCAGTGACTCTGAGTAGTTTCATTGTGGAGCTCTATTATTTTATCAAGACAAATTAAAATATATTCGCTAAGCTTAAAAATATTTACTTATGTGTAATTTTTTGAAAAATTGACTTTTTTATTTGTAAGTTTATCGAGCTTTAGTAATAATGTATGAAAGCATAATTAATAAACCCCAATGGACCCATTGTTATTCTCAATTTCTAACCTTTTCTTTATTTTTTTGTCCATATATTTTTTGCCATTAATTTATGCAATAAAGTTTCCAAAAATTAATGAATATGGGATTTGGGATGCCCACTAAAAACACGAATTGGGATGCCCTTTAAAAACACCATGGATACACGACGTGAATTGTTGTATAATGTGACAAAACAAAATAGGTATGGAGAGAAGAGTATCTTCTATAGGGATATGGATTCCATTAATTGTGGCCGACATGAATAAGAGAGGCGGTGGAGAAAGAGTAGAGATATTTTATAAAAGTTAAATATACACGTACTTTAATGAAAATAAATTATTAAAATTAAGTACTGGATGTCTAAGGGTGCGTTTGATTGCAAGGGTGGAAAATGGGTGGAAAGAAAATGTTTTACAGGGAAAAGATTTGCTTAGAAAATGTTTTGCAGGGAAAATGATTTCAAGTGTGTTTGATTGGTATAATTTTCCAC